AAAACTCTACTGTTATGTGGTGAGGTAGTATGATTATAAGTGGGCATTGCAGAACGCACGCAATTGCGTGAATAATGCAGACGTTATTATAATGAAACGTATTACATCAAGTGGTACAAATAAGTACTTTTCCCCCACGTGACCAACATAACCTTATTAGCAGTCAAATTAACCATGGCCTGATTGACATGTGCTGGTCAGTGAACTATTTTTATTGAAGGAATATTAAAAGAAAATATTAAAGTGTATTAGTTTATTTGGCGACACCAAACTGTCACCCAAACCTTGTGATCTTAGTTAACTATTAGTATTAAATTAGTATACATCCATAAAGTTATATTGTACATCGTGGTCATATATACGTTTGCTTATACATGTTTATTTAACAGTGGCATAGATTGTAAATTACAGTTTGTTTATCATGTGTTTTTGGATTAAAATTCTAAATTGGGAAATTAACTTTGATGCGTATGGTAGTCCAATGCCCGTTGTAGGCTATATAGCCTATATTATATTGTGTTTCACCCCACTCCCCTAATACTCACGTCTGTTGTGTCAAATACTTTTAAAATAGTTATATGCTGGCGAGCGGAACAGTGAACGCGATCGACGGGCAACAACTATACAGTACTTGAGTGACAGAACAAAAGCAAATCCCGAGGTTCTCTCTCTCTTAGCGTGATCTTGGCAGCCATTTTCGATTAAGGTATTTTATCCCTCGTTAGCGTGCTTTTAAACGACATGTGGCAAAAATAACAATAACATTCATACCGTCTGGTAACAGATTATGATTATCCATCAACTGACATCAACTTTTCTTATACTGTACTTATTGAAATGAGCTAAAATGTTGAATAATATTTAATGTGGTTCAGTTATTCATATATACATGCCTCATTCTTGTGAATGAATAGTATAATGAGTACAAGGTAAACGTAAGCGCTCATCTGTCTACATTTTGTGCAATCTTCAAATTTTAAACAAAGTCTTTACCCTTCAGTATTGAGATATAGCCGACAACGCATTTTTCATTCGTTCTGTTCCAGCTTTCAAAATTACGGTGGGCATTTTCTATTTTTAGCATTATTATTTTTTTATTCGCATAGGACTCATGCGAACCTGAATTTGGTTCGGTCTCTCAGTTATTCCTCCCTTACCACTGTCGATTTAATCATAGTCATGATGCGCTCAGCAAATATTACAAACCTCCTCTCGACAAAACCGAAACTGGTGTAGGAGGGTATCGATTCCATTTAATTTAACAATGATAGTTATAGTGTATGTTTGGCGACCGGACGCGGTGTCGGGCGATGCACACCACCACAACCAGGGTTGTGACAGCTAATTGTTTTTTCCAAACTTGTCCAAACAATTACAGTCATGTAAATTATTTATTCGATTATGTAAGGAGAGAAATAACTTTCCATACAGTTGCGTTATTTACATATATTTGAGTTTGCATCTTTGCATCAATTTCAAATTAATTGTGTATTTTTTTTCAAATGAAAAACAAATCAAATGATATTGGTTTTACTACAAAAAATTGCTGGTCATGTTAAGTAATCTACATAGCTATTCTTTTAGGTAACTTAGGTGTAGCAAACAAGGCATAAGTATTATCGGACAGTTTTATTTGTGAATTCAAAACCTTAGAAAGAATGAACGGGTATGAACATTTTACCCTTAGTTTCTTTACAAAATATATTATTTAACATAAAAACAAGAAAAAACGCGTTTTTGATATTATAGAATGAATCTGGTCTTCAATACAGATTCAAGCATCAGGTAATGGCGGCCGATATTTCAAATTTGATTTAACCATATTGCAGAGAAAGCCTGAACGCAGAGAGTCATTTGCGCGAATGAAAAAATCCAAGGATGCTGAATATATAAATGCAAAACGGTAATATTGCATGTTTCCACTTTCTAATCGTGATTATATTTACCACGTAAATAATTAAATTACATATGATATAGTTAGCATAAGCACAATTGTTACGATATGAATAGATACAAACAAAGTTTATAAACGCAACATAGAATTTAGTTTTATTAATCAAATATTTTGTTTACCAATTAAATCTATATTTCGTTTCTGATTCTTCGTATCTCGTCATATAGTTGTATTGAACACAACTGGTTATGTATACATGTGTATGCTATCCGCATACTCACGTGTTCCAGTTTATGTTGATTTAAGTGCGTTCTTACAAAAGGGCTTGGTGTTATATATTAACATGCGTGTAGCATAGTTGGAATAATCAGGCTCACCTTCACCAGTTATACATTCATGAATCTCATTCGACCTGGAGATTGTTCAGTTCAATATATTACAAGTGGAATGCACGGGACAATTAGGTCGCATAAACCTGAATACTTCCACCACATCAATATGATATTTATAGACCCTGGGATGTATCGTATTTCCCGTAATGGCGGCGGTTGTCATGCTTACACATTCAATATTTTATTCAAAATAAGCATGCGCTCTAACCCATGTAGTGCAACCCAATGCCATTGGATTTTCAAATTTCATCAAGCGAAAGTGAATATCAGTGAATATATATATATGTGTGTGTGTGTGCACACAGCTCAAGGAGGACAATATGTTTTAATTACTACACCTGTATCTGCATAAGCATTGTGGATCAACTTATTCTTCGATGCACATGATTGTGTGTGTATTTTTCATAACCCCCGGCAAGTTTTTTGGTTGCTAAGTTATTGAGCGCGCGCTCGTAGCAGAACAGAGGAGGCGAGGTGTTTATAACAATTCTTACATGAGCCCTTTTGCATCAGTTGTCAGAGTCACATTCGTCTGTTGTGCCATGAAATATTTTCTGAATGATATTCGGGTGCCAAGAAGTTATACATTCTATTTTGTATCACTTAAAAAAAGTGTATTGTTTGCGTTTGAATCAAATACGCGTTTACCATATTTTACGATAAATTTTTAACAGGCATGCCTGCAAGACAGGATTAGCATGCTTGATATAAACTGCAGCTGCTTTAGTAAAATATTAGCCACAATCCGACTGACGGGAAGCGCACACCCCTCCCAAGCATTTGCGCGCATAATAGCCAAGCAACCAGATAATCCAGT